GCCAATTTAATTTTTTTCCCACATGCATCCGTAGTCCATACAGTCCATACATGGCAACTAAGCTGAAAAACAGTCTGTTTTTAATTCATTGTTTTTGTGATGTCATGGAAATAAACATATTTACATACATCTTCTTATTTAGCCTACAAGAGTTTGGTCTCGCTCATTCACATTTAGGTCATAGTAAGTGTTTCAGCCTGGGCTACTTTTGCGATGAGGCACAATTCTGGGTGCTCAATTCGTACAGAAGTCATTTATGCATATCAGTCTTAAAAGCACAATAACAAAAACTTATTTAATTCTAAGAGATAAAGAGAGATTGGACAGTAGTCATGTAAAAATAAATGGTGTGGAAAGAGAGTTTAGAATCTGCACATTTCATAAAATTTCTCTGACATGAAAGAATTATACAGTGTTTTTATCAGCAAGTGTCTGAAGGTTAAGTCATGAATATTTCAAATGTACATTGATATTTAATCATATTTTATGTACTGATTTTTTGCTGTCACCTATGTATGCACTTATATTTAACATATTAGAATAAAATTTAGAGTTTTAGAATTATATCTGTGTTGACAGATAGTTGTATCAAAAAATGATTGGAATCGGACAGAAATTTAAAGTTCTGCATTTTTTAAATATTGCTGCGTTTCTTACTACCTACAAATAGCTATTATATCTTTCCATAATGCTGATTCAGGTGAATTTAGTCTCTTTCTACATTTTAGACTTATTGATCAGTCAATGTTGGTTTTGATAGTGTTTAAAGGAAAAAGGCCAAGGGACCGTCCCTTGATGGCAAGTGAAGTTCACAGTTCAAACAGCAGAGGGCATTATTAGCTTGAATCATAATCGAACCAGGTTGTTGGAGCAGATGGTGAATAACCATAGATATAAATATAAAATAAGTTTATGTGTACGTAACATGTATGTAAATATATATATATAAATATATGTGTGTGTGTGTGTGTTTTATAAAAACATGTTTTGTGTGTCTTTGTCCAGCCAGAACACTTGTTACAAATAAAAGGGAGGAAGAGTGAGGCTGTGTAAGAGCATGCATATAATTGACTCATTTTCTCACACAGGGAAATAAACATGTATTACAAACTTTCACACTTTGATTACAGAACCAGGTCATTTGCAGCAGTTTTGTTGGATTTGTTTTCATTCTTTCTTTACCACTCTTGTTTTTACCGTGTAAACTCATCAAAGCCCCTTTAGACTGGCAGAGTAATGCTGTCTTGATTAGCAATCTTTGTGTTTGTGGTGAACTAATGTTACAGGATTTTGCAAAATTTTCCCAATGCTTTAAAGACGATTAAATTGATAGTGATGATAGTGTGTCCTACAGGATGTTGATGACGATGATGATGATTATGCAGCTAGAGGTGTTTCCAAATAAGTCAGCGTAGCTAAGATTATTTTTTAGTCATCTGAGCAGATTCGGAGAAACCAAATTTTAAGTACATCACACCCTTACTTCTTATCAATGGAATAGTCATTGCACTGCAAGAAAAGGAAATAACCTCTAGAGTTCACTGTGAATTAACTCTGACTTCGGAGCATATTAGAAACTATAAGAGAATGGTGCCATTCAGAGAGGTGTGTGTATATGTATGTGTGTGCATGTGTAAACGTGTGCGCTGTGATTGGAATGCCATATCTGTCTGGGTTTCCTGTCTGAAAGTGTAATCTGAGGGAAACAGACCACATTTCCCAACAGTCCCAGTGTGCAGATAAGCTCCATTTATCAGAGAGGATTATGAGTCCACACTGTAGTTTGCCAGTGGCCATCATACACCCACACAGCCGTGCACTCGCAGACACTTTAGAATGCCCGACTGATAGCCTGTTCCTCTGTCTCGTGACGTCACTACTTGACCGTGCTGCAATTTTCCTTTCTTTTTTGTAATTTAATGTTTATTTGAATTTAACGTAAGGAATAAACAAGGATACACTCAAGAATAGCAGGTACCATGTAAAGTCCTCCTGTGCCCTCCGCCTTACGGCATCGTTTTCTTGATTTGGGACAGTCAAAATGCCCACTTCATGCTGTAGAGTTTGATGCAGCAACAATTAACGGAAAAACAAAGGTGAAAAGTTTATTTAGGGATGCACTGATTTCGATACTGGTATTGGAGATTGGCCCTATTGTGTGCTCATTTACTCTGTGCTCATTTGCTCATACTCATAAAAATTCATGGATACCAACATTCAATACCAGCTGATACCATGTGACATAAATCTAATTAGTATACGCGCTAATGAACAAACGTCTCAAGGTGGAAGCGTCGGAGGGTCTGTTCTCACAGAGGATTGTTACTTTCTCTGTGGAGGTTCCAAAATCACACAATGTGATTTATTGTAAATAAATATATTTAGAGGACATTGGACTACAGCACAACCAGTCAAATAAAAGACTTCAACATAACCTAAAACTCCACAAGTGAGCTCCTTGAATTAGCCTTGGATGGGATTCTTCCTGTCACTGTGCTACAGAGATTGTTGTTGAAAGAAACAGATGAACAAAACTATGAAATGTACATACAGCTGTAGAGGAGCACTTTTCTGAGGTAGAAAGAAACTTGCTCTCCTTCACTGTAGTGATGCTCAATTCAAGCTAGCTAATGCACTCCATTTAAAATCTAAAAGCTAGATTTTGATGATTTAGTTGTTGAGGTACATTGCACTGATTTACATTAACAACTACTTAATTCTAAATAAGTAATTCATTATGGTATTGGACTCTGTGTTGGCAAGTGCTAAAAAACGTGCTCGTATGCGGCCTAAAAAAATAGTATCGGTGCATCCCTAGTTTTAATGTAACACTGTGTCAGATAACTGATGTGCCTATCTTAAATTGCTTCAGTGTCTGGCAAATGACATCAATAACATTAACAATTACTATGGGGGTGCTGTTAAGACTAATTATACTGTTCAACACATTTGTCACACTTAACGCTGCAGTACATTCACACAGTTCACTGGCTGATCTATCTAATGTTAGCAAAGTATGACACCGTTTTTATTTTATTTATATATAATGTCACATTCTCTCTCCTGTTCACGTACAGCTTTTTCTCTTACTTGTTTTTGCCTTGTTTATCCATCCAGTCACAAAGCAGGGAGCCTGCTTTTAATGCCATTAGACTTTTGCCAGTACATGTGATGGATTTTATACCATGTTTGTAAACATTAGCTTTATGTATTTAGCTGTCAGTCTTATCCATAGCTAAATACATAATAGCATAGAGTTATGCCCATGTTGTGTTACTGGTAGCTTATAGCAGTTATGTTGCTACCTAAACAGGGAAATGAACCCTGGTCTTCAGTGTGTGGCACACTGTGTTATTCACTATGCTGTTAAATGCAGGGGACTAACTGTGAATCAAAACTGATTGTTTTTGTTTTTTGAACACTGTTTTTCATTCTTTAATCTTTTAATTATTCACCATCACTCTTGTGTGTAGACAGAGCAGAAAATGATTACTCTAGCTGTGAATATGTGAATGAAACAGATTAATAGGGTGCTGCACATGCTTGGAATGATGTGTGCAGTACGTGGAGCACTTGAATTTAAGTGTGCATTGAAATGTGTGCAGGAAACAGAAACGTGTCTGTGGACACACCTCTGTCTTACAAAGTGGTCCAAGCAAGACACACACACACACACACACACACACACACACACACACACACACACACACACACACACACACACTTTCTGGAATGCCAGAGCTCCTCTCTCATTTTTCCCAGAGGTCTTTGGGGCTGTGCCTGTATCACCCCAGCAGGAAGCAGGGGGCGGAATGCCATGGCCAGAGCGGAATGTTCCAGAGTTCTAGAATGCTAGAATGTGCGGTTGGGAAGTCTGAGAAGGAAAAAGGAGGGAATGAATGAGAGAGAGAGAGAGAGAGAGAGAGAGAGTAAGAGAGAGAGAGCACAAGTGAGGGTGATAGAGAGCATGTGCTTATTTATCTTATTGATGCAATGCTCTGTTTTCCATAAAGCGCACGCTCAAAACACAACCACCTACATAGTGCAAGGTTATATTACCGATATTGATATTTTCCAAATATATCATGGTATCAGATGTTATTTAAGTTAGCATTAATAAAGTTAGCGACTCCCTGACTTCTTGAGAACTTTTATTCTAAGCTAATAGAATGTCTTATGAACCTGACATAGTTTGTTATGAGTGGACTTTTTTGTTCCACTTATTCTGAAGGGAACCAGACAGAAGGCACATTTCCAGGAAGGAAACTTCTGTTTTACCTCATGTTTATGAATTCTAAACTATTCTTTCAAAAAAATCTAATGTAGTTAGATAAACGGCATGCATTGCAGTTAACAGTTAGGTCCTGGATATTAAAAGTGAAGCACACAAGATAAAATTAAAAAGCTAAAAAGAAGAAAACGTCTTGTGATGCTGCTGTTTATGGGCATTATATCTTGGATTCAGCGCTCGCTCAAAATTATCACTAAAATCGAAAAACAATACCATAGTATGTCTCTATCATGGTATACTGGTACAGACATTATATTGTCCAGCTCCACACCCACCTACTCATCACTCAGGCTTTCTTGCTCTCACTTTCTTGCATGCATATACACATGGTATATGTGAAAACAGACCTTGTTTTTTAATGGAAACCTTCTTTTACAGATTATTTTATACCCAGTTAGTACAGCATCCGTATATAGACAACCAGTATAGTCAATTAGGGTAATATTGCACTCACTGCCCGGCACAGGCCCGGATTTGCCCATGTTTGGATTTCCAGTCTACGACTTGGAACTCACATTCATTAGATGCGTGTTACCGCACTGGTCAAGTGTGGGAGTTTATTGCTGTGCTCTCAGGGTCCTAGTGAAATTTAGAAAGAAATGGTCATTGTATTGCTTAAACTCTTGGGTCATTTCGTTTGGCCCAGAAAGTATAAGAGTGTATTTGTGTGTTTTTCACATGAATGAATGTGTGGTCTGTGTGGTTACAGGATGGCTCGTACTTGGCAGAGTTTCTGCTGGAGAAAGGCTACGAGGTAAGAGAAGAAACACCTGTTCATTAAGAAACACTGGGCATTCAAACCCCTCTAAGTCCAGGATACATGCACACGCACATACACACTCAAGGAGCACATACTCGCAAACTCCCTTTCCCTAAGCACTGTTCTTGCTCGTTGCACATTGTGTAAACATTTACAGCAAATTGAAGTTTATTTGGTTAGAATGAAAAGAAACACAGTGAACACTGCTTTAATGAAGAATAGGGTATGGTCATTTTCTATTGATTTCATGGTCTCTTTGTTTCTGTGGTGAATGTTACTCCCTTTTTCTCCCTCTCTGTTTGTGTTTGTGTGGACAGGTTCACGGTATCCTCCGCAGGTCCAGTTCCTTTAACACTGGCCGAATTGAGCACCTTTACCATAACCCTCAGACACACACTGAAGGAAGTGAGTTAGCCTCGTACATTTGTTATCCATTGTTACATGTACATCAACATTTGGTAGCACTGTCTTTGTTGAGTTCCAGTTCATATGTCTTTTGGGTCCTAAATAGCACTTATATTGGTATTAATTGGCATATTGGAGATTTTAAGGTCAATGGCATGCGTTTCTTTTTTCTTTCTTTTTTTTTTTTCATGTTCTGATATTATTTAAAATGTACACCTCCGAGCTGTCACGTCCCTAGTTTAAATTGGTTTTGAATCATAGACAGCAGATGTGTTTAGGAAGTAGGACATGATCAGTGCAATAAGTCCTGTGGGGGTTCTGACCTTTGAAGAACAGAGTAAAGGAGGCTAACAAAGAGCAACAGATGGACTCCAGTCTGTAATTGTAGAATTACAAAGTGCACCTATATGGAAAGTGGAGCTGATAAAATGGACAATGAGTATAGAAACAATGAGGTGGTTTTAATGCAATGGCAGATTGGTGTAGATATCTCAATTAAATTAAAATTAAACATTATAAGACGTGTCTGAAACCACCAGATAAGTGTTATTAAAGGCCCAAAAAGTGGAACTCCTCTCTAATGTAACTTGTTGTTTAAGATAAAACAAACTTACTTTCATAGATACACAGGCTATTTTATGAAATAACTGGACACTAATTAATACCATACATTGACAGGAAGTCGCTCTTCAGCAGGATGTAAGTTATTTGTTTCATCAAGTATTTTTTTTTCCTAACTAGACATATGATCTTGTCTCTCTGGTTTTCATGATTGTAATTTGCTAATTATGTGACACAGTTTATGAATCTGCTTTATAAAAATGGCATTGAACATGAAAACCAGACTTGATACTTCTCAACTGTACAGATGATTTACTGGGATGTTTCTGATGGTCAGTGGGATAGCTTACCTTCAGTTGGATCTTTGAGCTGCCCTTGGTAGTGATAGGACCCATTGTATATGCTTGCATGATTTCTGCTTTTTTCTTGTTAGAGATTCTGTTTTGGGAGTGGATGTATGTTGCGTGTATGTGTGCGTATGAGGGAGAGGGAGAGTGAGAGATTAAGTAGTACATCAATTATTATTAAAACTGCAGAGGTAGATTGATTAATTTAATTGAATTTCCACAGTGCAGTATTAGCAAGTTTAGAACATGTTTGGTTGCAGCAGTGCTCAATTTATTGACAGTACCCAGCATTAGGGATGTTAGGGCTGGATGATATGGCAAATATAACATCACAATACTTGTGATACATGATATGTATTGTGATATTCAGTTTTGGCAAGTGTGAGAAGACAACACATAAAAACTATTATCGTAAACTGTTTATACAAAGATTTTTATTCATTGTCTCGCGCATTGTGCTGCAGAAAAATTGTAAAGCAGTGTCTGTTGTCAGGCAGCATATTCATAACTTTTCCATGTAATAACTTGCTTTTAGAAGAATTAAATGATTCAGATGTCTGGTTCCTATCACTTCTGCTGTGAACAATTCTGACTCTAAGTTTCTCTAAAATGCTTCATTTTAGAGAAACTTACCATCAAACTGCTATGAATTGCAAAAGTTTTGAAAATTTGGTTTGAATGCTGCTGATTTTGATGTTCAGAGGAGCAATTTATCGTGATCACAGTAAATATTATTGCATAGGCCACCCCTATTTAGAGGTTTAAGATAGACTTCAAATAATATTCAGTTTAAACCATTACTGACATGAAGCAGCACACTTGTTCGGCTTTTAGTTTTCCATGAATGGAGCCAACTGTAATGTATATGATGAAACTCTTAATGATTTCCTCTATAAAATGCCTTAAATCTTTCTTTCTTTCTTCTTTTTCATTTTTTTTTCATTTATTCTTTAATTAATATCTTCATGGTGAACATACACTTTCCTACTGATCAAATTCTATCAAACCACAGTTGCTATTAATGTTGCTATGGAATACGTTAGTTACATGTTGTGCAATCTGCATGCATGCATATGCGTGTGTTGGTGTGTGTGTATGTATGTATGTGTGTATTGTAGACATGAAGTTGCACTATGGAGACCTGACGGACAGCACTTGCCTGGTAAAAATTATCAATGAAGTGAAACCCACAGAAATCTACAACCTGGGAGCACAGAGCCACGTCAAGGTAAAACCCACATCCTTTCAGAAGTTTTTCATTTTATGTTGCCATTGTTTGTGTTTGTGGGTGTGATTGACTGATTTCTCTTTCTCAGTTAACCGTTATGGTCTTACATCAGCCAGGATACACACATACAGACACACAAGTTGCTTTTTAATGACTGTAATTTGTGTCTGTGTGTGTGAGGTCAGCCAGTGATCTGGTCTAGTAGTTAGAAGGAGATGTAGCTAAGTGTGCTTCTTTTTTATTCTCTGTTCTCTCATAGAGACTACTAAGGTCTAGTCATTCGGGAGGTGGTCAGAAAGAGGTTTTTCAGTGGGTTGGCCATTAGATGAATTGACTTTGTGTCTGTCTGAGAGAGTGAACCTGTGTGGCCACTTTTATGAACTCTGAGTAATGAGTACAAAGGCTGTTGAGAGTCAAGAGGGTAAAATTAAAACGAAGAAAAAAATGAGTAATAGAATGAGGGATCTAAAGAGAAAGTGGTGAGTTATGACAAACGTTGAAAGCTTTTCCTAGACGCACTGTACTAGTCACTCATCAATCCTTTGGGTTCACTCTCACTGGCTAGAGAAAAATCATCCTGGTAAATGTTCCCATTTGAGAAAGAAATGTAACAGTAAAAAGTGAGTTATTTGTTTTAGCTTTGAACAACACAAATGTTTAAATATATTTAATGAAAGCACATGTCTGTAACAGCAGAAACTGAAAACTGCTCTGTCTGATGACTAATCTGAATCATCATACGGATGTGACCTGCGAAATGATGTGTGAGCAGCTTAGAATAAGAGGAATGGATGTTAGTACATCAGTAATGTTGATTTTGAATATAATTATGTGAAAATCATACTAGTTAAAATGTAAAAATGTGACTAAAGTGCTAGAACAAATGTACATTCTCTTCTTTTGTCATGCTGTTAACACCAGTAACAAATAAACAGTGGCACTTTTCCAAAAATTAATAATTCATCACTTAGTGCCTGTGACATCTGTATATGCACATATGGAGTACATTGTTAGATGGCAGATGAATAGTATTAAATGAGCGTATTACCTAAAAAATTAGTTTCAGTGGGGTGGAATTGAATGGGGTGAAACAGAGCTGACTTGAATAATTCACATGAGATAAAACTGATAGAAAATGAGGTGTGGCAGCACATTCATTTAAATGTAAATGAGTTTCTTTTTATGCCCTATCAGTACCTTGTCTGCAACCTGTTGCATGATGAAACAAGCAATAGACAGTTCTCTTATCAGTGTGATCACGGGGCTGTGCACCTTTATACAACTATAAACTAATCCTAGACCCAGATCAGGTCCGTTTAATGTACTGGAAATTGTTTTTTAGTGGAGAATCACTAATATAACTAGTACATCAGATACTCTTTTCTCTGTTCAGCTAGCTAAGACTGTAAGCTTCAGCTTTGGAGGTGATACTTCTGAGTATAACAGTAGTAAAATGCTGCATGTGAAATAGAGGAGCATTATGGGTGGCCCCATGCCATTTTATTGTGTAGTAAGTTTAATGGTAAGTGGTCTTCTTTGCAATCCAGCATGCCAGTGGCAACGCTTTACCACACATTTCTTCAGTATCTGTTTCTCCACAAATCGGAGAATACCATGCCTTCTCAGATAGCTGGCATTGTTCTGCACTATGGGGAGATATTAATAAACATGGTTTATACATGGAATATCCAGTGTCCTCAGAATGTATGTGGTCATTTGTGCCATATTTAAAAATGTATTGAGTTCATTGTGTTAGGAAACAACATGTCAAACCAAGTTAAACAGACCCTTCCAAGACTGTTATTTTCTTTTTGGCAAAGTATTCTTTCAAAAGACAGCCGGTCTTCTTTCAGATCATTATTGTTTGAGCAGTTTCTTTGCAGATTTCTGCAGATTTGCATCCAAAATGCCTTTGTACATTTCTGAATTAAGGATGATATCAATAAACACGAACGCAACACGAAAATTAAAATAAGAAAAAAAATTACAGAGACTTTGAAAATTCAGTTCAGACAGAGAGTTTTACAGTACCCTTGGTGCAGTCCGGTTGGAGTTCTTCTACAGGCTTGCTCCACACAAAGAGTCTGCTATCAGTTTGATGTTGTGGTAAAAGTGTTTTAAAATATGTGTGTATACAGTTTCCTGTTGTTGCATATAGGGGTCAGCAGTGTGCTACTGTGTGTGAGGTCATAGTTTTCAGTAGATGAAAGAGGATATTAACAGATCTATTTTACTTCTGTGCTTACCTGCTTTTATTGACTCATTCTTTGCCTCATTACTTTGTGTTTTTTTTATTTTTATTTAGAGTGGGTTTAGGTTTTTCAAATTATGTGAATGAAGATCCTTAATGCTCTTGGCATTCTTGCCTGTACTGCAACCCAATGAGGGACATAAGCTCAATAGCTCCTATATTCTAGTGTTGAATTCAAATAGTGCACACAGTAAACAACTGTGACTGTGATTAGGTATAAAATCCTGTTAAGTGTGCCAGTGGCTTAACCATGATATGAGTTGGTCTGTTCAAGGCTAATCAGATAACACATTCTATACACACACACATCATACATAAGGAGGAAAACTGGAAATTAATACAATACTACTACTACTACTACTACTACTAATAATAATAATAATAATAGAAAATAACAGGTTTTGACATACTATGCAAATATTGCTGAAGTTTCATAATGAACCATTAGTTCCCAGGTCTCTAAGGTCCATATATGAAAACTAAGCTGCAAAAACAGCCCATTTGGAATGTATTGTTTTTGTGGTGTCACAAATACCAACACACTGACATGAAACCTACAGACTAGAGCATGAACTGCTTTTCGAATGAGGCACAATACAGGGCAGCCAATTAGAACAGAGGTTCTTTGTGTGTCAGTCTTAAAGGCACATGAACAAGAAGTTTTTTTTTTTTTTTCATTCTAAGGGAAAATGAGAAGTTGGAAATTGATCATATAAAAATGGATTATGATCATATTGGGTATATAGACTCAACACAAACTTAATAAGTGGACTTCTGCATTCATTGGAACTAATTACCATCTTGTGGCAATTGATGCCTGTATGCATGCCTTAAGTTTGGTCTCTTACACACACACACACGCACGCACACACACACACACACACGCATGTACATGCTGCTTTAAAATGTCTGTGTGTAAATCAAGCTTACACAGTCACCTACTGGCCTGGCTGATGTCACCGCAAACAAACGAGGCTTTATTCAAGGAAATTACGGCACATCACCGCAACCAGATTAAAAACACATGATTTATTGTGTATGACACTGAAAGAACAACAAGAACCAATTTAATTAGCTGTGATAGACATGAATCACGTACCTCAGTGGTTGGAGCCGAGATGAGCTTTGTTCATGTTTTACGGAGGCCTGACAGCATTACTTTTGTGATTTATTCTGGTTCGCTCTGTTACCTTTTTATCAGATATATTCCACATTCAGTATGCCTTTATAATGACATGTGTAAGTTGTGGAGCTTTTTTTTTTTTAAAGCTGCTTGTTCCTGCATGTGCTCCTGGGGGGAGGAATGCCTCTTTCAGCTCCAAAAGAAAATTGTATGTCTAGTGATCTTGTTGTGTTGTGTGGTTTTTTTTTTTTTATTTTTTTTATTTTATTTTATTTTTTTTGCTCGTCAGACTAAATATTTCCTACAATTCGGCAGTTGCACTGGTTTTACATTTCTTTAGTTATAACACTCGACTACGTAGTAAAATGTCATGGTCTGAATGAAATTTTATTTTGGTCTTGGATAAACATGAGCATAATGTTTGTGAAAGCATTTAGGATGATTTCAACCACTAAAGAGCTGGTGGTAGTGGAATGCACCAAAATTGAGAATAGATGGTTTCTCATGACAGAAACACCCCTCCAGATTTTTATCACTTGTGACAGATTTATGGGCCGAGGTTGATTGTATTGCTTGCATACTGCAGTGGTTAAAGATGTCTAATGATGTTGAAAGATAATGGTCCGTCAGTACCAAGCTTGTCTGGAACTGCTGAGAGTGATTGACAGTATAGAGTCTTTCAAGACTACAGCATACTTTACAGGTGTATGCACACTTTTCTCTCTCTTTCTCTGTCTCTCTTTTTATGTGACTCTCTCTCTCTCTCTCTTTTAAATCTCTGACTCTGTCTCTGACTATCTGACTCTTTATCACGCTCCCACACACACACATGCACACTTTTGATTGAGGATTTCTGAGTAGCTATTTTGTAGAAGAGAGTAATGTCTGTCTCGTTCCTTTGGGTGGGAGTAAATTGACACATTCCTGTCTCGTGTCCATTCCCTCAGGCAGCTTTTGCTTTCTGGAGAAAAAATCTCCCTCTATGTCTGTTATAGCACTTTGAGTGCTAATAAAACATACATATGTAAAGAGAGTATTTGAAAAAGTTAGGACAGATGTGCAGACTGATGTTTCAGACTATAGTATGAGATTTCAGGTAAATTTGTTATATGTTGAACAGGCCAAACAGCAGGATCAATCAGACAAGAAGGCAAAAGAAATTACTGAGTGAGAGCACAACTGTCTTTATCCAATGACCGGCTGATGTAGGTCCTATGAGAATACCAGGCTAACCTGGTTCCACTTGGCTCTAGGCTTTCATCACACTGAATTGAGGCTACATCATCAAATACACGCACACATATTCACAGGTATAAAAGGTAATTTACAACATAATTTTGGCAACAAATTTTTGATACACATTCTACCATTGGATATCCTGCTTAATATAATGTTGCACTGCAGAAAGGGCATAGCATGCTGTGGTAAGCAATAAGTAATCATGAAAATAAGTAAGTCAACACTGCACAAGTATACTGAACTCTACACAAGCAAATGTTTTATCAAAAAATCAAAAGGTATCTGTAGTAAATTAGTGTTGGTTGGTGCTCAGCAGTTGCTGCATTGTTTCTCAGATGTTCCATGGTGCACGTCTCAGCACAGTGCTGCAGGTTGTCAGTGTGTTGTCATTGTTTGGTATGTGCATAACTGTTCTGACATATAGTTACCCACATAATAGCTCCACGCTGTCTTTCAAACTTCTAACAGCACCTGTCAGCTGAGATGACACAACATACATGTGTGTGCATGGGTGTTTCAGGGGGAGAGGTGTGCTGGTTCACGGGGAGGGATACTCACATGTGGAAGTTGTTAGCTGCTGTCAACACCAAGTTAACCTAGAGAGAGAGAGAGAGAGAGAGAGAGAGAGAGATCGATATCGATATCGATCAGAATCAGAAGGTGGTCTCTTGTCTTATGACCATACACAAATTTAAGTTACACAATTATGAAAGATTACACAAGATGGCACAAGATTACTGTCAGTAAAGAAAGTGATCTTGTGCCATCTCTGGTCTGAAATATTTATATATAATAATGTCAGTCAATACCAATACCAGTCCTTTTTTCTACTAAACTACTAGTCTTCACAATGAGTTATTTGTAATCGAAGCATTTTACTTAAGAGGAACATCTAAAAACAGGCAATCATGCTCAAACTTCTCATGTACTCTACTATTCCACAGGAAGAAATATCCAGTCTTATACATTATTACGTAGTTAATTATTTGTAAGTCCTTCCTGCTTAGTTGTTGTTGCTGTGTTGCTCAAATTTTCAGCTTAGGCTACTGGCAAATGACTGCAGCACTTATACTAATAGACTAAAATGTTAAGTAGCACAAGTGAAATTTTAGACACACACAAAGCAGCACATCTGAAAACATTTTATTATTCAAAAGTAAACTGGCTTGACAGGATGTTCACTGGAGACATATATGTTTGATAACAAAGTATATATGTAGGCCATTTAAAAAAAAAAAATCCTATTGTTACTATTAAAATGGTGGGTTTTCATGTCTATTGAGGAGGTTTGAGCTAGGAAAAGTTTTTTTCAGATAAGCAAAAGCTGACTTTGAAGCTGGAACTAGTCAGAGCAACATTAGGTGCTGAGGAGGACGTCATCTTGTTCACAAGGTCTTTCTGCAAAGAATGTTTTAGGAAGTAGCACTTGGACGATTGTGAGTGGTTGAGAAGTTATTTTGCAAAAGGTCAGTTAGCAGTCAGTTGCAGTCAACACACCAGCATATTATACATCATACAACACACTCACAATATGTGGTATAACTTCATGAAACTTCAGAATATCGTAATACTTTTGTTTTTCTGTGGTTTGAGAAGTTGGAACATCAAAAAAGCCCCACTAGTGCCACACTTCATCAAAAACCATGAGTACAATGGTTTTTGTTCAATGTTTCACATACCGTGCAGCACTAAATCTAATTAAACAGGCCTAGTTTTGCTCTTTTTGTAATGAAGCATGTAGTTTGTCAGTCTTTAAATACTGATGATATCCATGATGTACTCAGAAAAAATGTATCACTATATTCATCACAATAATGATAAATATTGTCATGTTGTCCCTTACTCCCAGCCTCGACCTAATTCACACCAACAGGTACAGTGTCATACGACACATTTTCAACAAAACCCACACCATCGTTGTACTTCAGAGTTTTATTTCAAAAATCATGAGAATATTGATTGAATCATGAATAAATTTAATAGAATTAAAAGTAATAATAGGTATGATAAATTCTCATTTTAGACTATTACATGTGCTTGCATAAGCTTGGATGTAGTGTAATTGGTTTGGCACACACTGGGGGCAGGCTCTGACCGCAACCCAAAATGATTCGGGCTGTTGCCATGTTTATGTGTATGTTTATGCTGGAGAGAGAGAATGAATGATGAGGTGAGATGTCAAGCCAGAGAGAGAATTTTCTGTCATATGGAGCATAGATTTAATTGGCTGATGAATTCCATTCCTGACGTGTTGAAGCCTTGAGAAGTGGAGGAGTATTGATAGAGGGAGGGAGAAGGGTGAAAAGATAAGGAGCAAGAGAGAAGCAGATGTAGAAGAAGGAGAAAAGTGTGTAAGTGTTTGCCGTGGGGCACAGGGGCTTTCCCCGTGCTCAACATAAATCTCACCACTGACAGCTCCAAGTTACCATGGATATGCTCAGTAAATGCTATCTTTCTATTTTTCTCAACATGACTCCTGATCCCCATACACACAGGACACATAATAAATTAAGACACCTACAAATCCCTGCAACAGCCACGAGCTGTTCTGAGTGAACAGCTTGGACTATCTTGGTTTTAATTACATGTACTATCCATGGGTAATGGAATACTCAGTTAACCCTTTCAGATGCCAGTATTTCATTGCTGAAATCGTCATTTGGTTATTTGTTATGCTACGTAACAGAAAGTCAGAGAGAATATATACAGGCTGACAGCTATTATTTTTTTAACAGGGCTGTGTGTGTATAATATATATATATATATATATATTACTATGTCAGATTTTATCAGCTCATCTGAAGAGGCAGCCTCAGTTACTCAAGCCTTCTCCAACAGAAAAAAAAAACATTTTTAACTCACATTTTAAGATAATAAAACATGTTTTCAAACCTATGTATGCTGCTAAATGTTGACTACTAGTGCCAGTGTACCAGTTCACCCTCTTACTGTTTTATGGGTAAGATATTTTAATATCAGCGGAAGTCCTTTTTTCCTGTCTTCTTTCTTGTGGTTAAATGAAAATCGGCTAATTAACTCAGATTTTATGAATATTTATATTTTAAAATGAGTGATAATGCCCATCCCCACTATGCAGCGTAAAGCTTCGTTTTCTTTTTATACGGCTGAATCTCCTGTTCAAAGTTTAAAGAATTTGATTAATGGACTTAATTTGCTGGGCCTCACTGTGAGGAGAAGGTTTGCTGCTAACAGAAGCCAAGCTTACTGATTTGGGCTAAAGTGTTATTGTGTAACACGTTAGATTTTGTTAGAGATAACTGGACTTTTGATAGAGATAAATCTTCTGAATTCAACACTGTAAAGACTTACTTTTGTGTTGTGAACATGTGAATTTCTACCACCTGATGTTGAAATATTACTCATTATGGTAATTTATTTTTGTACTTATTTTGGTATGCGGTTGCTGTATCATTGCTCTAATGGCAATTTTTGGTACTAGTGTATGTATTTCACAGTCCAAAAGTAGCTTAAGCTTACGTGTTTTGTAAGGCCTTTAGAGTCGTTTCATGCTAATGTTCTCCGCAATCTCCCACAGCGGTGACGACCACTGTAGGCTACTAATTGCCAGGCAATGCAACTGAGTGGGACTATAAACAACTTGCTCCATAGATGGCATCAGTTCAGGATGATGTCAGGTTTTTGTGGGTGAACTGATTCATACCTCTCCCCCTTTCTCATTGTTGCTCTCTTTTTATTCTCTCTCTCTCTCTCTCTCTCTCTCTCTCTCTCTCTCTCTCTCTCTCTCTCTATTTTTTTTCTGTTGTCTGTCCACCCACACAGGTCTCAAATACCATAGATCTTCTGCTTGTCTTATGTTAGACTCTGAATATATTTTCCATGTGATGATAATTAACTGTTGGTCTTTGTGGATGGATTTCTCTTGTTGTGATTGGACAGCATGACGTGCATACCTGCTATGTCTGATTCTTCCTCCCATTACGTAGTCATGCTTTTTTGATGTAACGCTGTGTGTAGGTGTGATTTTAAAAGGAGTGTGTCAGTGTTGAGAAACCGAGTCATCGGTATTAGCTCATGTCAGGTTTCTCTCGTTTCGTCACTGTATTTCTCACATGGCAGTGGATCCTGGATTAGCCCACTCTCATGCTTACGTGTGCTGGTATGATTTATGTCGTTCATCAAATGAGAATTTATTGGAAGTTATCGGAATAACACCCCCCCCACCCCCCAGTCTATACACACTACACTACAAAAACTAGTATATTTACAAGCAAAAATCTTAAAGTTAGTCAATATTATCTAATATTCCTCATTTTGAGATTGCTGTAAAAAATGCTTTTTTCTAAGCTTTTGTTTTACTTATATTTTGACTTATTTTTCACTTACTAATAAATTAATTTCACTGTATTGGTAGAAAATTTTCCGGAAGTATAATGAGAAACTTACATATGTCTGAAAATAAATTAAATAATCTTATAAGCTAACAGTCTCCACATGTGAAATACTGGACAGTATACCACAATACTGAGTCACTATTTATTTGCGGTATAAATAGGTAGGCAGATATATATGCAAATATGCATAGGTTCATTGACAGTAGTGGGACATACAACTGCACATAATAAAAGCAAATATTAAACAAAAATAAAAAGTATAGGTAATTTACAAACATATTTACAAATATACAGTACAAATAATGGTGATGGAATTTAACATATTCATGCAATGACTGGGGCCGTCGAGTAGAAATCTGGAAGCAAACCGGTGGTGTCTTTAAATACCTCCCAGGATATCAACTATGTTTTTGAAAACAAATTTCTGTTTACTTTCTACTGCTTTAATGTTTGTTCGCATATATCTTAATGTTATATTGTGTTGGACTGGCAGTTGCTCTGTCTTTTGTTTAGGTGTCTTAAGGCTGTTCTGTGTGTTAGGTCTGTTTTGAAATAAAAAGAGCAATATGTGAGAACAGTATATAAAAGAAACAATATAAATATAAAACTGTACATAAGGATTTTAAATGGAGTTTACATTTTAAAAAAACAGTGTTGGTCACTTGAGATAATTCTCCTGGCTTACTAGATTTAGGTGCAGTAGTTTCACTCGAAAGCGCATATTGAATGTAAATGTAACTATGTTACAGATTTCTCCTTCAGAACAATTAAATCCATAGAAATCAAAAAAGTAATGGGATTTTTTTTATTGTGTTTATTTCAGATCTCTTTTGACCTGGCAGAGTACACTGCTGACGTTGACGGCGTGGGCACGTTGCGTTTGCTGGACGCAATAAAGACTTGTGGGTTAACTGACAGCGTGAGGTTTTACCAGGCCTCAACCAGTGAGCTGTACGGCAAAGTGCAGGAGATTCCACAGAAAGAGACCACTCCCTTCTACCCTCGCTCGCCTTATGGTGGGCACAACACACACTCTAAACCCTTAACTCTGATCTTATCTGTTGATGTTTGGTTCACATAATAATCTTTTTAGATTTTGATATGGAGAAAAGTGTTCTCTCTCTCTTTCTCTGTCTGTCTGTCTGTCTGTCTGTCTCTCTCAGGTGCTGCTAAACTCTATGCATACTGGATAGTGGTGAACTTCAGGGAGGCGTATAATCTGTTTGCTGTGAATGGAATTCTTTTCAATCATGAGAGCCCTCGAAGAGGTAAGAACTCAGGCCACAAGCAGGGCACACACAGGCAATGTAATTGCTTTAAGACGGTGTGATGAGCAGTGATGTGTGGTTTGCTTTAAAGAGCAACCCCTAGAACCATGCACACTGAGGCATGCTGTGATGTTATGTTGTGGTTTTAGCATCATTACCACAATAGGAGTTTCTGCGATAAACACATCGTTAAGGGCTATGATGACAGAAAGAATCAAATTATCTCACATGCACAGTGTCAGAGTGACTTGATGAGATTGACGGAAACATAGCACTGGAATCAACAAATGCTGAGCCGTGCTGCCGCACGTGCAGGGTGAGTAACTTAATGACCAATTACAGATCAAATGTGCACAGTTCAAAAACTACTAGCGTGGTACATGATAACTGTTCTCACTCAGTGTCATTTGTGAAGTGTAAAGCAGCAGTGGCTACTGTCACAACGATCCTGTGTCACCATAAGGAGCTTTTTAAAAAGCTAAATATATATTAATTCATTTTTGAATATTTTTGTGGACAAAAAGAATGCTTACAGTTCTGAAGTTAGTTGCTATTAGTATTTTTTATTTTGCACAATAGTGGATAGTGCTTTTGTAATTTTGCATTTTTTTTGTAATTGTTTTTGTTGGTTAATGATTAGATATATTTCTATTTAAACACCAAGATCAAAAAGAGATGACAACTACATTCTAGTCTCTGTTTTATAGACTTTAAAGACAGGACATAAGCAATAGAGTGAAAGAGAAGGAGACTCAGATGAGAAAACGAGAAGGAGACAGTTGGACAGACAGACAGACACCTTGGCATGTGTGTGCACACAAAGAAATGTTAGATATGCACAAAGAGAAAAAGAGTGAGCACAAACACATGGAGAGAAGGTAGACATGGAGAGAGAGAGAGAGAAAGGGGGAAAAGAAAAGCAAAGTGTGTCTAGGCCTAAGGGAAGGTTAAGGCTCTGTTAATTTCCTGTCCGTGGTGAGACAGACACTGATTCCAGGACCAGACTGCCGAGTTAATTTCATTTGGAATTCTGTTGGGTCTTTTCACCCCTTAACAGTAAACACACTTCCGCTTCCATCAATAAACAGTCTTTCCCCCTGGCCCAGGCTAGAGGTGAGCTTTGGAAAGAAAACAACCACATGCAGTCCACCATAAAGTGAGCAGAACACAAAGTTTTGCCTATAGTGTGCTACCGTGTGTGTGTGTTTTTTTACTTTATTAGATAGGCCTCTGTCACAAGTAAAAGCAGCTCTTACCTGTAATAAAATTAGAGCTGCTACTCTCAATTATATTGGTGATTAGGTAATCCATCAAATAATAGAAATAAAAGTAGACTTAAACTGACCCAAACGGAACGATAACATACCCTCAGCCTCTGTAAAATATGGTACAGAAAAAGAAAAAAAGGCATGTGAAAATATGTAAACACACTATGTGGCAAAGAAGCATAGATATCTGTCTGTCAGGCTCTCTATCAACTTTGTAAGTCATTTTTATTGCCTGTTTGAGAAATTCAGAGAAGTCTTTCTTTGTGTCAAAACAACTTCTTCAAGCCAGTCATTTTGAAAAGTTGTCAGGCCTTGCATATCGTTATGTAGCAGTGTTTAATGCAGGAAACTTCACTTCAGTAGTCTCTTTTACTGATTGTTATGGTTTTGACAGTGAAATGTTTTCCCATTCTTGATTGATATAGAATTTCAGCTGCTTAACAGTTCAGCCCTTCTTCAAAAAATTCAAATTTTGATTGGTCAGACCACAGGACATTTTTCCCCCTCACCTCAGTCCATCTTAAATGAGCTCAGGCCCAGAGAAGCATTACACAACTTTACCTGTCTTTTGTTGCACTGTTCAACTTTTTTGAAACGGGTTGCTGGTGTCAAATTCAAAATGGGCATGTATTTTAAAAAAATAATAAAGTTTCTAGTTTCAACATTTTATATGTTGTCTTTATACCATTTTCAATTAAACATAGGGTTTATAAAAATTTCACATTATTGCATTCTCTATTATTTACATTTTGCACAACGTTCCAACTGTTTCTGAAACGGGATTGTACTACTAGGCTAGCTCTATTTAAACACTTAAAAAAAGTGCAGCTTGTAACAGACCTTTAAGTGACATTTTCCTTGCTTTGTATGTTGCAGTTTTACAGTGAATCCGAACTGAATATTTTTAGAATATTTTAGAATATTTTTGATATTTTTCTGTAAGCTGTCTGCTGAGCTGGTCAGCTTAGACCTTAAACAAAACCAGTTACTTCATATACATTTTGATTCATATACATGCAATTGTGATGCTGTTCTGAACATGTGGAGTGATTCTAAGCAAGGCTTTATAATGAACATAAGAGACCCTGTTTTTCATTCAAATTGCAAGTTAATCACTATTATTACCATTTTTTGTCATTTTTATTTATGTATAAAACATTTTCAAATGCTTCCTTTTTCATTTTCTTCAGTAAAGTAGTCTTTGAATTTTTAGGTTTTTGTTGTTTTTGTTGTACTATTTTTATTGTTTACACACAAACAAAAAAACAGATTACTTAAATAAAAAAAACATCAAAATAATTCTTAGATTACTCGATTACTCCTATAGTTGATAATGGCGGTTTCATGTGTGAAAACTTCTCAGTGTTTGCTTTCTCATGTTTGTTTTTGGTGAGTTTAAAGCTCTTTAGGTGAAGGAGACGGCACCTTTATGAATGTGATGTTAGACCTCTCACCTGTCCTACATACACAAAGCTAAACATGTCCCTCTCCACTCCACCTCACACACCTGTGTTTGTGTTAACTCAGTTGTCATGGCAGCACAGAAGGTGAATGACATAGATGCTCTTTTAGTGTTCAAAATGAAATGTCTCATGTCACATTCTCATATATGTACACGTACATACACACACAGGTGATCTCTAGATGGAAAAGTGGACTAAATATTGGTAGCTATTGTTCCCTGTATTTGTGTCATCATGGTTTTTAATGGCAGCTGAAAACAAGACATGACTTTTTAATAGTCAGTGTTGAGAGAGGGAGAACTGAAGTATATATTCAACGTTGGCTTTTTCATAAAAAAAAAACAAAACCTTGGAACTTCTGGTCTCAGTCCCCCTTTCTCTCTCTCTCTCTCTCTCTCTCTCTCTCTCTCTCTCTCTCTCTCTCTCTCTGTCTCTCTCTCATACTCGTGTGTGTGTATATATATATATATATATATATGTGTGTGTGTGTGTGTGTGTGTGTGTGTGTGTGTGTATATATGTGCATGTGCCCCTGAGTAGGGCTGTTTGGCCAGGCAGAGACCAGGCTGCGGTCAGCTCCCTGGGACTCTGCTCCTCTTCACAACTTTCCTCCACACGCAGTAAGACACCATAATTACACTCAAACTGGAAGCACGAGCCAGCGTGTGGAGACGGCCTGTCGTGGGCTTTCAAACACACGCTAACATGGCACACGGCTAATCCATTATTGCGGGCCAATCGCTAAAATGTGAGAAGAAATCTGATCTCCTGGTCCCCAGTGCGGTTTGCCTGTGACGGTTTGAGTAACTCCAGTATTTACAGTGCTGTGTTTCAAACTGCAGTTCTGGTGCCAAGCTCACACACCTGGCCATGAGCGTGTGTAGAAGGAGCGCTTTGTACTGAAGCGTTTTGGAGCAGAGGCAGTGACCACTGAGACTCCACCACTTCTTCAAACAACTATTATGTGCATGCTAAAACATGCACTGCCTGTCAAAAGTTTGGGGACACCCACTTTAACATTTAGTTTGAGTTTTTATGCAATACCTTAACATATTAATATGCTAACCATGTTTATTCTGAGGCAAACAATATCACACGTAAATATTAGTGAGAGTGCTACGAAACGCAAACCCCCCTTGTTGTGATGTATCAGCACTCAAATCTTTCAAATGTTTAAGTCACCTTGGGCCAAAAGAGTTTCAACAGGTGCTTTTAACAATAGTTTAGAAAAGAAAAATGTCAACTCATTGATGCGAAACCTACTCTTCATGTGAAGGAGTAACACACTTTAATGAGCTGAGTGTTGAACAGTATACTCAAAGCAGGTATTTTAATTGAAAAGCAACAGTGAAAAACAAACATTGCTTGGAAAATTTCAATAGAAGACAAGATGTTCCCAAGCTTCTGATGGGCAGTGTGCATTCGAACAAGACCACAAATGAGCTCTTAGACTATGAAGGTAGTGCTTTTTCTGTGACTTCTATCTCAGTTTGTTCAGGTCTTTATAATTGGTTTAGTTACAGATTGGCATATCAATGTTACAATGAAAAATACTGTACAAGTTGGCTTATGTTACATACATTTAAGCTCACGTTCACATGTATATGACCAGGGTTTAAAGGAAGTTCTGTACTTAAAATGGCTTGAGCATATATATTACTGGACCTACTTAATGAGAATGCAGCCCTGACCTGAGACCCTATATTACAGGCAGGCAGGCAGCTGTGGTGGAGTGGAGTTACTGCATTAAAACTCCAACGTCTCTCTGGTTTTAAATGCAGCACAGCCCAGCAGGTCCTCGGAACATCCAAGGTTTCCCACAGATCAAGAGTGTGCGTGTGTATGTGTGTTTCTTTGGCAGCTTTGCAGGACTTTGGCCTGGCTCTCAGTGCCTCCAGGGTGGTCTACTGACTAGACAAGAGTTTCATTTTATCCCTCTGTGTGCCTATGTGTGACTAAATGACTGACTGACTGACATGGGGCTGGATTTATTTTGGCCTCACAAGATTTAAAGTGACATTTTACATCAGGAAGGAGAAGTAAAGAGACAAAAAGAGAAAGTGAGAGAAACCAATTGAGACAAAGAGAAAAGAGATGTACGATACAGAAAGTGAGCAAAAATGAAGCCGAGTCCCTCATGTTTGTTAGACGCTCTACATCTACATTCATGAATACTAGAAGAGCCCACAATTTTTTTTTTCATGTGTTTTGCAGGTGCCAACTTTGTGACACGGAAAATCAGTCGTTCAGTGGCAAAGATCCACCTCGGCCAATTGCAGTGCTTCAGCCTGGGTAATCTAGACTCCAAGAGAGACTGGGGCCATGCCAGAGACTACGTGGAGGTACTCCTCTCTCTCTCTCTCTCTCTCTCTCCCTCTCTCCCTCTCTCCCTCCCTCCCTCTTCCTCCTCTCTTGGTGTCTCATTTTAGTGAACTTTTACTTGTTTTCTCTTCTTATTTGCGCATGCACACGGTCTGTGTCTTGTAAATGTTTGTGCCTTCATCATGTCTCATTGTGTGAGTGTTGCAAGTGGCTAAACAACAATAATCCATTGAAACAAATGAAGCATGCCTTTTGCTTTAGAAATGCCCCTTTTGCCTGACAGTGAACAGTTATCAACATTTTTTGATGTGTGATAATATCAGTCATATCCCTATCAGCAGATATTCGCTTAAAAAAAAAAAGTATTAGTATCAGATGAATGTTTAGAGCTGCCTGAATTTTTAAACCCAAATTTGTTTTATACCAATATTTGTTATTTGTGTTTATTGTACTGCAGAGTAGTAGACTGTTTAGGTAACGGGCTACTGTGCTAAAATTTTTACACTCAGCCCATGATTTCCATATTCGTGCATCCCGTTCATTCGTACATTCGTGCATTAAAAATGCTTGTGAGGGTGAACCTCGAGAGGCATACAACCTTTCCCTTGGAAGTCAAGCCCAAATCTAATGTTATGAAAAATGTTACAAAATCTAATTTGTCTTGTGCTCTTATAGCGCAGAATGAACCCAAAGGTGTGGAGTTCTTCCATTCCTTTGTGTTTTTTATTTTTTTCCTCTCACCTTAAACCAATAAAAGTGACCGCCAAAGCTCTCTTTAGTTCATCTCCAGTTTTCGGTGATTGCTATCACCATTGAAACATTTACACAGCTGTACATTGCTGTTGGTCATCACTGTCACTGTTTTACAGCAGTTCTGCAAAAAGACATAGAGAGAGCTCTTTTTTTTTCTGCGGAGACATGTAAAACATTATTAGCCTTCTCGACTCTTTCTGCAGATTGTGGGAACATAGCTAACTGTTGACTGAAGTTGACCGTGGTAAAGAAAAGGTGCATAAGCATGACCTTAGAATCTACACCTAATGCTGTAAAAGGTAGAACTCTGGTTAATTAGCCTTTACCCACTGTGGTATACTGTCCCCGTTACAGTAACTAGGCAGTTAAATGCAGAATCAGCAATCATGTAAAATTTAAATTTTCCCCCCTCAGATTATAGGGGCTACAAAGAAGTTGTAGTTGATGGTTATTAACCTCAGTATAGGAATGTCTTTGGGATATAAGGCTTCCTAACTGGCCCCCAGAAGGTGTAACCAGGTCCTGCTTTGGGTGTATGTGTGTGTGTTAGTTTCTAGGTATGTAGGATGTCTGAGTGTGGCAGGGTTCAATGTTAACTTTTTCCCTACTAGCCCAATCTGGCAAGCGACCTGAAAGTTCACTGTCCCGAACCAACTTTCTACTGTCCTAAACAAATTTTTTGTATTTTAAAGTGTTATTCAAATATAAATGAGCACGCAATGCTTAAATACATTTTTTTTGCAAAACTTTGTAACTGGTCACTTCTCACTCTTCAGATTCCTACCACTGAATTGTATTTCTATTTTATTATAAATACCACATTAATCCCATTCAAGTTATCAAAAATCTTGATGTTAGCATTTGCATGCATAAGTTAGCAAATATTTTCTTATCTTCAGCAAGCCATGTTGGTACAATACTGGCTACCAAGTTCCAGTCCATTTTTGATTTAAAGGATATAAACACCTTGACTGGCCTTGTTAGGATATTCCCTAAGACCCTCACAGAACATCTCAGGTACAGATACCATATATATATATATATATATATATATATATATATATATATAATATATATATATATATATGCGCGTTCATACATACATACACACATACATATATAATTAAGCTTTTTGATAACTTGAATGGGCTGACACATTATTTATTTATTTGTTTAAATATTTTTTAGTCTTTTATTTTCCCATCTGTTTAAAACATGAAGTCAGCCTTACAATCACAACAGTGTCACCAGTGTACAAAGGGTTATTACTTGTTTTTAAAATAATCTTAATACAATTTTGACCAAGCTAATGTTCTCCCTTTATTGCCTCTGTCTTTGGTTACACAGTGGTTTCACTGAATGTCATGTGAATGTTAAAGCCCTGGGCTTCAGCACTAGCTGTGTGGGAGGTATGGAAGGCATTTAGGAAAATGGAGGTGTTTTGTACTGACTGCGGCTCTCTGTGAGACGTATGAAGTCTTCTGAGTCACTGAGCTCTAAAATAGCAGCAGAGAAAAATGGAGCCATTACTGTCAAACCAGCAACTACAGCAAGTGAGCACCGTGTAACTGTGGTGCATGAAGAATGTGTGTGTGTGTGTGTGTGTGTGTGTGTGTGTGTGTGAGAGAGAGAGAGAGAGAGAGAATGAGAATGAGTGAGTGAGTGAGGACTTAGAGCAGAACAGGCAGGCCTCCTGAGAGTGTGTTTGTCTAAACTCTTGAACCTATGCATAGTTTTGATTGGTCTCTATTTGTATGAAGTATTGAAACTTGAATATTTTTGAATATTTGAAGTCCTCCAGCACACACACACTGTATGGCCCAAGCCATACAGTTCAAGTCTCACAGTCTGGAACTAATGTGTGAGATTTTTACTTTTTGCGCACATTCTTAGAAAGAAAATAGTAAACAAGAACATAAAATTCATGATGAAAAAAATTTAGTAATTTCCATAACCCAGCGTTGGATCACTATGTAACAGAACACGTACTAGGTTAAACGGCCCCAGCATCGCTAGGTCATAAAAGATGGTTACTTTATATATGGTTACTTTAACCCAGCACTGAGAGAAATAACACAATAACCCTTTCATTTCTAAATGTATATTATATATGATTTTCATTTTCTTTTTCATTTTCACCTGATGTACTATCTGGTCCACCTGAAACGTACTTTTGCTTTCTGGTGAATGCATTTAGAGACAGGCAACATGATAGTTTTACGTGTTCCCCCTTTTACTATTGTTCAATGACAAGTAAATACTAAAAATAAGCTTCTCTTTTGTATCTATTTCTGTTTTCTGTGTTTTATTTCATGTGATATATTGCGTACTGTGCTTGTGTGTGTGTGTGTGTGTGTGTGTGTGTGTGTGTGTGTGTGTGTGTGTGGTACCAAGGATGGAATTTGCTGTTTTTGAGGGGTGGGGAGGTTGGTTTGGTGGGCTTTTGGGGTTTAAACTCCAGTGGCCGGCATCCAGCCAGGGAAATAAACACAGCTGTGAGTTGAGGCCACCTTAATCTAAGTGTATGTGTGTGTGTGTGTGTGTGTGTGTGTGTGTGTGTGCGCATGTGCATGCACACTCTGTTGTTGTGTCCTCTGATTTGGGGGAACTTTAAGCTCTTAAGATCTGCTAAGACACTGTAGTAGTGTATGATGAGAACAGGACTTGTTTTAAGGTTAGTTTAGTGAGACATTTCACCTTTTCACACAGAACACCGCCAAAGTCATAGAAGGTAATGTGATAGTATATGTACACATACAGCTCTCTGCAAAAATCAAAGACCACCCTTGATTTATTAAAGTCAAAATGGCCATTATTTACAAGTTATTTTTCAGTTAGGAAAAATAAAAAGCAGAAAGCATATGTTTAACAGTAAATTACACAAGTCTCAACAACTAAATACTGAATATGATTGCTTTTCAGTATTCAGTGTGTCCACAGTTTGCTTTCGTTACAGCTTCCATACTTTTTGAGAGACTTGCTTTTCATTTTTCAGAGAAATTTGCAAGAATAGTTTTCCACACAGTTCAGTCTTAGAAGTTGGTTGCTTTTTCTGCTACTCACAATCCAGGTAATCCCAAATATATACCGTAATGTTGAGGTGGAAGGATGTACAGAAACACCTATGGATTTTTTTCAAATCTGAAGCAAAAGTGCAGCTTAATTTTTTCCTCTCTCTCAGAGGTAAAAGCTTGAAGTTCTGTTCATCTCAAGGTGACAACTTTTGAGGAACACCAAGTCTTGCACGTTTGTTATGAGTCCCATTTTCACGGTGACTTTTTTTTTATAGAATTTTTTTTTACTCCAGTTTTGGAAACTTACTTTCCCCTTCTTTATGCAAAAAGTTATGTCATATTTCAAAAAAGAAAGCAGAAAATAAATTTATTGAGACATGTCATGGGTCTTGACTTGACAAGAAATGACAAGTTCTAATTCTTTCTGGTGCTATTTCAACTTTAAAAACCAATGATGAATCATTTTTGAGCTTGAGCTGTGTCCGTCATCAATTAAGAGCCACGGAGCAAAATTGCTAATTAGCCACTTTAGGTTTGTACCTTAATAGCTGTATGCAGTGCACAAAGAAAAACAATTAAATTATTAATTGCAATTATTTTTATGGCAAATAATTACAACTGCTCCAACACACCTAATTGTTGATTAGATATCAAATGAAGCAAGTGTGTTATTAGGATCATTGATACATGATTAAAAAAAAAAAAAGGATTCATTTACCCCTGACCCTGTGTGTGCGTGTGGCAGCTGCTGTCCCTGGGATTGACAAGGCCAAGCTCTTCCCTGCTGTGCTGAGGATGAAAGCACATGCTCTCATTTCTCTCTTTCTGTTTTTCTCTCCTCTCTTCACATGCCCTCTGTAACCAGAATCCTCAACTTTCCGAGTATCACACTGAGCTCAGGGAAGGAGAGGGAGACGGAGGGAAAAGAACAGAGGAGGAGGGGAAAAAATAGTATCGGTGATAGAAACAGCGCAAGATACAGGAGATACTGACATGGATTTATGCACTGTGGCTCGCACACAGTGTCAAACCTGACTGACCGTATGGTCACCTTTTACTTTGTCTCCCCTTTTTGGGTCACAGACTGTCTTCTGTATCTCTCTACTCTCTTCACTTTATATTTCTTTTGCTTCGTCAGCAAGCTAAGTTTTCATTACAGAGAGGTTACATACTCCCTGTCTCTCTCTCACATTCGCTTTTTCTCGCACTTCATCATTCAGTGTGCTTGCATATTTTACTGACAACTCCTGTAT